TTTGATTTGATTTGATTTGATTTGATTTGATTTGATTTGATTTGATTTGATTTGATTTGATTTGATTTGATTTGATTAAGATTAAATAAATAAATTTATCCTCAGAAATTAAAATTTGATTTGTACAACCTTGAAAATATCTGAAATGGAAAATTAAATTACATTTTTTACGCATTTCTTTGCTTGCCAAACGTTCTGAAATAAATGATCCCTCCTCCTCAGATGAGGAAGAATAAATAATAGTCTCCATGAAGATAAAAAACAAAAAAAAACGTAATAAATGCAATCATTGGTATACCAGTGTATTTGTTTCCAAAACGCCATTTAATATTTTAGTTTTTAAAAAAAACATATCTAATAATATTATTATCACTATTATTATTGTTTTTTTTTTGCAAATAAGAATAAATTCTTCAGACAAATACTGAAAAGTACTTCTAGTAATTCTTGAGCTCAAATTATCAAAAAGATAATGCCAAAATGTGTTATTTTTTTTTTTGTTTTTAAAATAAGCGTGAAGAAAAGAAACGCTTTCGACCTGGCGTATAATAACCAATATTTAAGCTAGTCTTTTCTTTTAACTGTTGTTAAAAGCCCCAGTCTGGCTCTAAAACATTTATTATGGTTGAAAATCGCTTGCTATATGAAAAACGGAGATTTTTTTTGAAGTGGACGATAATAATTTTATTCGTGTAACGTTTATATTGAATGACACTTGATCTGCAATGCCCCGCGACTAATAAAGAAATATTAACGTAAAGTTTATTATTATTATGATTTTTTGACCAAGTAAAACAACCGGTTGGTTAACTAATTAGTTAATTATTTAATATTTTAGTACTTTGCTCAATATTAAAAATTCTGTTCCGTAAACCATTTCACAATTTAATAATTTTAATAAAACAAAATAATTCTTTTTCGCTTAATAAGTCACTTTTGTGATCGGAAATTAAACAATTTAATTGTTCATTTTAATTTATTATAATCCGAGGCTTTGGTTATTTGCTCTAGTAAGAAGGAAAAGGTTTAATTTTAATCTCCTATAGCCAAAAAAATGGTATATTCTATTTATTATTATATCTACTTTGTCTAGCTGGAAACTAACCACATTTTTGATTTTAATAGGCTTCCAAGAGTAAAATAACACAAATAATATTTGAAACGACAATTAAAAAAAAGGTATATGCGATTTGCTATAATATCCGGGAGTGATCGCCTTTCCTGGCTCTAAGTCATAGTAAACAATTATATCATTGTTTTTTAACAGACCTCCAAAGATGAAACGGCACAAAAAATAATTACATCAAAAACTAATAAAAAGGTATGTGCAATTTGTTATTGTATTTAGGAGAATTGTTTTTTCTAGTGATAAGCCAAGGTAATCAACCTTATCTTTGGTTTTTAATAGACTTCCAAGAATAGAGAAAGTAATGTCTCTTCCTGGGACCAGTACGACAAAAGTCAAACGATTTCTGAAGTAAACAATGAAGTTTGGGTATATGCGATTTGCTAATACGCCTGAATGGAATTGCTTTTCCCAGATTATAATCATGTTAACTAACAACACCTTTAATTTTTTAATAGACTTTCAATGATATGGAAAACGCACTCCCTTCCACTTGCCAGTATAAAATAAAATCTGCAGCAAACGCAAACATTGAAGAAAAGGTATATGCAATTTTCTATTATGTTTGAGAGGAACTACTTTTCGTGATCGTGAACTATGGTAACTGACTACATCATTGATATATTCCTGCCATCAGTTGATCATTTCACAACAAATATCTGCATCAAATACTGGAAATTGGGTATATACAACTTGTTATTATATCTGAGAGGTATCATCTCTCCTGGGTAATAAGTCATGTTAACCGACTATGCCTTTGATTTTCAATAGAATACTGAAGGTTGTGAAAGTACTGAAAACTGGGGAAGCGCTAAAAATTGCAAAATCACTGAAGATTGGGGAACCACTGAAGATTGGGTAAGAATTGAGGATTGGGAAACACTGAACCTTCGTTGATAACCATCAGTTCTAATCGTAATATTGAATTTTATTGTCTCCAGCCTGAATTTTACTGTCTCCAGCCTTACACATATGAAAAAAAAATACCTGTAGCAAAATTGGAGATTTGGTATGTGTAATTTGTGAGGAATAATCTTTCCTGGTTGTAAATAATGTTATCTGATATCTTTGGTTGTTTAATAGGCACCCAATTGGATGAATGATTTTCGCCAGGTAGAAAGGGTGAAGAAATCAAACGAGAATGTAGGTCAAATTTGTTATAAAATATTTCATTTTTTCAATGCAATTAAATTTCTTATATTTTATTTACTCACACAGATTGCCCATATCGTCAGGAACTTAATCAATAAAAAAGGACGCATCTTCGGCAATTGGAAATGTTCTTCAGAAAAATTGGAAAATGAAACAGTGCTGTTTGGTTGTGGATACGAATGGAAAGAATTAATTGTTCAGGAATTACTTATAAAGTATCTAGGAAAGGGTCTAGTGGAGCAGCGCGAGTTTTTCAGAAAAGAATGCAATAGATGCCATAAAAAGAGAAAGATTGCGAGTTTTCGCCTGTACACATCATACACATCACTAATTGATGTAAGTCAAATTGATCACAAATAGGTAATAAAATTGGTTTATTATTTTATATACTACTAAAGTTTGTCCTAATAGGAAAGGCCTCTTGTTGAGGTTATCTGCCATCTGGTATGGAACAAGCACTACAGAGTGTTTGGCGATTAGAAATGTTTGAACTGTCGAAAAAAATGGGTAAGCGCCTATACATGGATGTCCCTTCAAAAGTTTATGGATAAAACACCGGCAAATCATTTGATGCAAGAAGATTTTTACATGCAAAAGTGCAACCGCTGTCATGAAAATGATGAGGATAAAGCCACAAAAAGCACGATCTGGCAATATGAACCTCTAGAATTATCGGATACTGATGGACCTCACAAGAGCCGGTTATGTGCAAAGTGTCAACACGGAGAATACTGTACTCAGGCCAGCATTTATTTTGGCCGTCGCTGAACGGATATTATACTAAAATAAATATATTGACAAATAGGGATAACTTAATTAGTTATTCATTTTCTAAATTCAACTGATGTGACATAAAACATATTTATTTATCAAGTAAGTGATAAGACGTTTAAATTTGATATTTTTTATTTTTTATAATTTATTTATCTATTTTGCCACTTGATAACAATTTCATCTGTATATTAATATTATAAGTATAAGAACAAAACTTTTTATATATATAATAAACTGAACATATGCTTTCCATTCATTTTTGTCTTGACGTATAAAAGAACTCTGAAATTTATGTACTTGAAAACAATAATTTCGACTTTTCTTCAGTTAATAGTAAAATAATTTAAATATTCTTTATATATACAGTATACCCTAATTGTATAAACTCCAAATTCTTTAACAAACGAACTAATTCATTGTTATTTTTAAGATACAAATACTTTTTATAATTATCATCATCATTAGAATTTTCAAAAAAATCATAACAATATTGTTAATTACTGTTACGCATGTCTAAATCGTTAGAATCTATAATAAGCTTAATTAATACTTTTGCTTACTATAATATGTTAATATTGCATGAGAGAGATTCCTATTCCTTTTTCTGTTCACAAAGAATTTGGCAGAGATAATCTCGTTTAAATTTAGTATACACGTGACTATGATTTCTAAATTTTAATCTGATATTTAAATTAAATATGCCATAAAAAAAGAATTCCTCAACTAAACTTGCAAACAAACCAAAAAATGATTTTTATTTGTTCAAAATACACTCTCACATAAAGAACCTTTTGTTCATGTGCCAAAAATTGATGATGATATGACTATTCGTGAATCAGCTTATGATGAATTTGAAATGTGAACTTTCTGATTCCCAGCTTTTAGACAGTGATGATAATTGGCAAGGTGTTGAATAATGCAATTGAAAATCCACATGCATCAGCTTTTATACAAAATGCTCGTGGAAAGGATTCTTTTATTTCTAATTGTCCATTGGTGATATATATTGGAAATTCCAAAAGAACTGCTTATCATAAAAAAACACAATATCAAAACGATGCTGTAAACACAATTAAATTAACAAAATAAAATTCATTGGAAAATAATAATAGTGTAAGTAAAGATATAAATGAAAACATTATTCAGACTTGTGAATATTATAATAATATTGATTAGAATGACAAAAAGAAATATAAAGAAGCCTTAGTTAATTTGAATTCAATTGCCGAATGACATAAAAAAACTAGGTTCCATTGTTGGCCAATACCTTAACAGGAAAAACAATGAAAATAGTTCAGAAGGTGGGGAATATCATGCCCGTCTAATTCGAAGCAATTTCTTAAATCTGGTTTAAAGCTTCGAACGAGCTGCATCGAGCAAAGTTTATTTTTGAACAACTGTAAAGTATAATAAATTGTATCGAATTTAAATCATCATTAATTTTAAAATTCCGGCAATTTTATTATTTTATCCATGTTGTAACAATAATTGTGTGCTTTCAATAAAAATTATTCTTTAAGCTCTGAAATATACACATACAGTTTCAACGAATCCTATGAACATAAGAAAATTGCATTTATACCAAAATTACTAATCACGTTTCAACGAATTTTATACGTTTTTAAAAATTCGCTGAAACAAGAAAATTTGCTCGGACATTTGTGAAGAATTAAACGAAATGCAAAAAATATTATTATTGTTGAACAGAGTTAGAGCTTCATTCGTCAATCTCATCCATTTATCCGAATTACTCGTTTTATTCGTTTTATTCGTTTTATCGAATAGAAATCCTAAGTTGAGCAGGCTCGAGCTGAGTTCAAGAAAATAAGCCCTTAAATTGTTTTTTAGATGAAGATGTTGAATTTAATTGCATTGTAAATAAAATCTAAAAACTGCAGCTTCAGTTGAAGCTGCAGAGTGCTTCCCAAATTTTTTTTTTAACGAATGTTGGTCTTACAGTACACACTCTCTGTAACAGTCCTTCTGTTTTGGCAAAAAAAGTCCGTTATAACAAAATAATAAGTTTGAAAATTCTTACATTGTCAAATATCGAATCTGTGAATATGAGCTATATATTAATTAACAACTACTTTTATCAGACTCGTTTGGTTTTATTAATATAGGAAAAAATTTTAAAAATTTGGATTTTGTGAATTTTTTAGAAGGCTATTTCAATCAATTGCACAATGTTGCATAATATAAATTTAGAATATTTGTCAATACCTCATGAGAAAGAATTGGACCAGAAATTAATTGAAATACTTAATAATTGCATAAAGTTAAAAAGTATTAGGTTTAATAAATCTGATAAAATAGATTGTGATAAAATATTGACAGTATTAAATGAAATATAACCAGAAAATTTAAAGTCAATAACTTTTACTTGTAAGGTTTATAATGTGACTAACCATTCTTTGGATATTCTAATGAAGAATTGGAGAGGACCCAAACCTTTAGCAACAGGGTTTGATAAATATTAATAATATTTAAAATCATTTTATTATCAGTCTGGAAGATTTCAATATTTATTATTTATATATTTGTTATAACATACATAATATATTTTATTATTTACACTATATATATTATGATGAGTGACATCTGATGGTCATTTATGATTTACTGTTATTAATGATAAAGAACGGTTGGCCAAAATTAGGATTAATTTAATGTTAAAGATGATTAATGGCAGGAGGTAGTCTCTGTCAAATGTAAGTTACAATCTTGATTAATTATTTACTTATAAAACGAGCCTGGAGCCCTTTGGTGCTGAATGTAACATTTTCCAACATCTAATTCTTCTAATTAAATAATATTAAAATAATAATACACTATATTATCATTTGATTAATTGGTTAATTCCTCACATATGGGGTCTGGACAATAGAAACGGACCATGTTGTGAAAATGATGTTTTGAGAAAATTTAAAAAAAGATCTGCATTTCAAGCAATTTACTATTGTTTTTAAAACTTTAATGGAGGGTATCTCAAAGTTTTATTAAG